CCACTTGTGTATGAGTAAATTGTGTAATCACTAAATGGGTTATCATATAATAAATGTTTATGTAAGTGTTTATACTGATCAGAATTAAGATATATTTGTTGTCATTAAACATTTCAGGTCTTGAATTCAAGAAGTGAACCATATATATTGGCAGAAATCAATCAGGGCCGGTCCTTAGAAAATTGGGCCATGTGCAAAAAAACAAATGTGGCATTTTCCTAAAATAAATCTTATTTAAAATTTAATAATGCTTATAATATTAAATTAAAAATTAATGTATCACTATCTAAAATAGAATTCATAAATGTAAGATGTGTTTGGAATTGAATGGATAATTTGTCAAAGTAATATTTATATAAAAAATTATAAATATAGTTGATAAATCTAATGAATATTTCATAAATATCTAATTGGTTATTAATTTAATAATGGCATGGAATACAAAAAATACTCATTACTTTGATTACATATTAATTTCAATAATTGTAGTTGATGGTATTGGGCTTAAAATCTTATGAGTTATATCAATAATTCTTTGGTACAAAAACAAAAATTGAAAGAGTGTTAACATCAAACAATTTGGTTGAGCTGGTTCGCCGTCGGCATGTGTGAGAAGGTTGGCAAGGGTTCGATTCCCCTGGCTCAAAATGTTTTAATTAAATAGTGGGATTTTAATTCAAAACATTAAGTCATTATTGGAAGAGTATATCAAAATTGAAGCCTTGTCACGGATTCATGGCAGGTAGAGATATCTCTGAACAGATTCTCATTGGTCAGGAAATGGTTCATGCCATTGATAAAAAAGTTAGAGGATCTAATGTCATTGTCAAGCTAGATATGGCTAAAGCTTTTGATAACTCTCTTGGAAATTTATTGGTGAAGTTTTGCATCATTTTGGCTTCTCTCCAAATTTTATCCAGATTATCCTGAATAACCTACACTCTACTTTTTTATCTATACTTATTAATGGTGTCCCTCAAGGTTTCTTTAAACCTAAGCGTGGTGTTAGGCCGGGTGATCCCTTATCACCTTTCCTTTTTATCCTATCCTCTGAAGTTTTCTCAAGAGGGATTAAATCCTTGATGTTGAATGGACAAATAGTGCCTTATTGGATGGGGAATATTGGCTATCCAATTTCACACCTAGCTTACGCTGATGATCTCTTAATTTTTCTCAATGGTGGCTCTAGATCATTAAGGAGTTTCAAGAATTTTCTTGAAAAATACCAAGGAGCATCTGGGCAGTCTGTGAACTTTGCAAAAAGCTCTTTCATCTATGGTAAACATGTGGGGGCAAGAGGCAATATTATTAAAGACATACTGGGAATGCAAAAAGTTGGGGTGCCTATTAAATATTTGGGTGTTAACCTTCACAAAGGTATTAACAGGCATGCCTACTGCCTGGACATCATTCATAAATTAGAGGCAAGACTAACACCATGGAAGCAGAAGAACTTATCTCAGGGGGGTCGACTTGTTCTGATCAAGCATGTCCTCAGTGTTATTCCTATGCATTTGCTTGCTGCTGATACACTGCCAAAGAAAACTGTTAGAATATTGGAGAGCAAAATGTCAAAATTTTTCTGGGGGGCTTCCAATAACAAACCTAAACATCACTGGATCAAATGGTCAGACCTATGCCTCCCCACTGATGAGGGTGGGCTGGGCATTAGGTCTTTGGCTGAGGTGGAGAAAGCCTTTTCCCTGAAGCTCTGGTGGAAATGGAAGTGTGGGGACTCTCTCTGGTCTATCCTCCTCAAGGCTAAATATCCTAGAGGTGAGAACATGCTGCCCAAAGTTTATGATTCCTCAGTTTGGAGAAGAATATGTTCTATACATCTTGAGGCACTTAATTACTGTGTAGTTGATCACAATGATGACTGGGTCTGGTCTGCAGAAGAGGATGGGATTTTTTCTTTTCAATCTGCCTTTCAATTGGTTAGAAAAGAAAAAGGATCTACCTTCTCCCTCAAACATTGTTGGCATCCTAAGCAAGTGTTAAAAATCAAGCTTTTCCAATGGAAAGTCCTAAATCAAATTCTACCTACTACAGATAACCTTACAAGGTTCCATATGGCTCTTAACCCCTCCATTCGCCCCATATGCAGAGCTCATGGAGACTCTATGCAACATTTGCTCTACCAGTGCCCTGTGGCTCAATCAGTTTGGGCTTATTTTTTTAAAATTTTTGGGATTCCAAACTTTGCTCCTGATATGACTATAAGGCAAGTGTTCATATGCTGGTGGCTAAGAGCAGGTAGCAAGAAGCTTTTAGATCTATTCAAACACAATTTACCAGGTATAATTTGTTGGCATATTTGGAAATCCTACGCAGGCCTCGTTTGGGGCTCGGTCACAAAACCGCCTACCCCGGAGCTTCTTATCGCCCAAATCAAAATTTTCACTAAAGATTGGATTTCTAGCTTGGGCAGACTAAAATTCTGTGAGGTTGGTAATGTTCTCTACGAGGAGGACCTTATTCCGGCCAGGTTTCGACTCGGTGGTCTACCACCAAGGGTTATCAAATGGAACAAACCACATAATATAAAATTGAACACAGATGCCGCGTTCTTACCTCAAGGTGCTTTCGGAGGAGCGATTATGCGGAATCAGGTTGGTGATCTGGTCTTCGCCATTTCCTTCCCTGTGCAGGCTGGTTCGGTGGTTGATGCCGAGATGAAAGCTCTGTGCTTCGCTACGAAGTGGGCGATGGATGCCGGTTACTCTGCCTTCCAAGTAGAAACGGATTCGGCGGAAGTGGTAAGGTTGCTGGAGGAGGGACGCATGGGGAGATGGAGGGTTATCCTTCAGGAAATGATGCTGGAATCGTTTAGGAAACAGGTCAGTTTCCATCACGTTTGGCGAGAAGCGAATGGGCTGCCCATTGTCTGGCCCAACTTCACTCAGCCCAGCTAATTACTTTTTCAAATATTTTGGATCTTCCAGGCCCAATCAAGAGAGCATATTATAATGATAAGTTTTGTATTCCTTCTCTCCGTTTTTAACGTTCTTTCCTGTTTCGCTTTTGTTGTGTATTTTCTGAAAGAGGTTCTGGTCTAGTCCCCCTCTTTCTTGTACTTTGCATCTTCTTTTAATAAAATATGGTAAATGTCCCCCGGCATTTACCCCACTGATTTTGGTGGTTGACCTTCCGGGGTTAAAAAAAAAAAAAAAAATTCAATCAAAATTCAATATTTTGTCCAACCATATCTATATAAAAATAAAGTGACCCAAAATCCAATACTTTATGTGTCGTATCATAAAACCTCCAATTTGACCCAATAAGGGCACAATCATTCGAATTTTATGCAATCAACCTATAACATGAACACGAGTTTTTAAAAGCTCATACCATATTTGGTAATATTTGAGTGGTTATAATTCATTTTTACTTTATTCACACTTTATCAATTCAATATCAACCACACGATTCTACTTTTTCTTAAAAACCACATCACACTCCCTGTCCCAAACTTAGTGGGATAGATCATTCAACATGACCGTCTTCCATATGGATGCAGTATGCTGGCAATTACATCTTAAAAATTGTTCCGCATGAGTGCGAGTCAGGTAATACTTGTAATTTTAACTTCAACTCTACTATTCAATTTTCAGTACATATTGTTTTGTCGTAGTTCTTAAATCGCAACTTAAAGTTTTTACAGTTTGATTTCTTTCCCTATCCGATGAACACACTCCCACCTGAATGTGTTGATGATTTTACGCTTTGATCGGCTGAGGTGATGCTCATATTTTGCAATATGGCTAATAAAAGGCCAATTTAAAAATTAAATTCGGCCACTAATTTAAAACTTTAACTAAAAAACTTTGAAAATCAAAACATTTTACAATTCGGCCAATTTATAAAAATTAGAAAATAAAACTTTAGGCCAATTTAAAAATTAAATTGGTCATTAATTAAAAAAAGAGAGAAATTTGGCAAATTTAAAAATTAAAAGATGGATGAAATTGGCCAATTTAGTTTAAAACTTTAGTTGGAAATTAAAAACTTTAATTTAAAACAGGAATCACTTTTACCCAATAAAAAAAATTCCTAGTCGGAAGTGGTATATCCGACATGAAGGAATTTTTTAAAAAATAATGGAATTTAAAAGTTTAGTTTAAAAAACTTTGAAAATGAAAAGCGGCAAAAAATTAAAAAAAAAACAAAGAAAAACCCCTAGTCAGAATTGGCTAGCTAATCCGACTGCAGGGGAGGGAGTTTTTTAATCTCTAGAAGGAACTGGCAATTTAAAGCTCAAATTTGAATTGTACACATTAGATTATTTAGGGGTGGGCAAACGGCTATAGGAAGTGCGGGTCAGGCGGGGTAATACGGGTTTAGGTTGGGCTAGGGTCAGGTCCTAATATTGGAAATCCCAAACAGGGTGGGGCGGGTCCTAAAAAATTTAGGGACCGTACGGGTATTAAAATTTGAAAAAACGGGCAACATGACTGGCCCGCTTTAATTTTTTTTTTTAAAAAAGTCAATTATGTTTAATATAATATACTTACAACACTCGAAAATTTTTCATTTTCATGAATTATTAAAAAGTATTTCTAAATCCATATAAACTTCTAAATTATTGTTCTCAATTCTTTACCTCAAATGCATCAAATATTGTTTATTTTTTAAACAAAGACTCTTACTCTTACTCAATAAAGTGTGACATATTAATTTAATTATCTTAATTTTACTTACATTTTGATAGTTATTAAGCTTTAAATTGTTTTCTTAAACATATATGTATAGTGACTAGCTAGTCTAATATCTTATGGCTTTGTGGTGCTCTCTTTTAAGATTATGGATGATGGTGTCTAATTTCTTACATTTCAAGGTTCGGTGTTATTTAATTTGTGTAGTTGTGGGTTATTTAATTTGTAAATTTGTGGTTAAATATTTTCTTAAACTAATTCAAAAATTTGTTGTATATTTTTTTTTTGAATTTTTGATATATTATAGAGTAAATTACCTCAATAGCAGAAAATAGTACAAAAGTGCAAAAATAAGACCTGAGGGTTTCGTAGGAGCTAAAGATAAGGGTGTGACAAAATTACCCTTAATGATAGCATGATTTCTTTATTAATTATTTAAACAACATAATAAAACAAAATATTACTGTGGACAAACAAGTAGATGACACAACTGCTACCCTAGGGCACAACCACCACATCCCTACTGCCGCCACTGGTCGTAGTCACCGCCATCGACCGCTGTCACCGTCGGCCTCTGTCACCGTCGGCCGCCTCATCAAACGTTGTTATCGCTTCTGCCACACTCTATCGGCTCATCTGCCGCTGCGCTGTTGCCGCCACCACCACCATCACCGCCTTCGCTGCTTCCGTGGCCTATTCCGGTGAGGCCGTGGCGGATCTCTGGCTTGACCACCACATCCTCCGGAGCATTTAATTTGTTGTAAATCTCTATGTAATTGTTATTTACATAATATATTATGACTTTCAAGATCCAAAATATGGCATATTGGGATTAAAAAATCATGAAATTTTTAGATAAAACATGGCATTCACTGCCACAAAAACATGGCATTAAAATTAATATTTATCCATAAAGTTAATTAGTGCCATAAAAATGGAACTAATTATCAAACGATTAAAACATGGGAGTGCCTAATAATGGCATTAAATGGCAATTTTCAAAGCAATACTTGAGTTTCTATTTTTGACAAAGCAATACTCGAGTTAAAAAAGATTGTCATTTTGTGATTTCAGATGATTAGAAAAAGTACTTCTATTTTTAAAAATAAATTAAACAAAATTAACAGAAAAAGTTGAAACCAAAAAAGTTCTGATAACCATTGTTGAATTGAAGCCTTGCCTTTTCATATTCGAAAAAAATTCGGATCTAAAATGTAATTTTTTATTTCAAGATCTCAATAATAAAAAAAAGAATCAGGAGAGTGGAGTAAAAACAGAGGGTAAGGAAAGGAGATTGAGGATGAGTAGATGAAGAAGACAAAGAACAAACACGAATCAATTACCTCATATAACTGGAATGGCGATCAAAAATCGTTGAAGAGGGACGAAGCTGGTGGATGTTGAACTGGTAAAGAGTGGCGGCGAAAGTGAATGAAGAATTGACAGAAATGAAGGAAGATTTGGGCGGAGAAGGTGAAGTAGAGAGGAGATGGGAAAGGAAAGATAGGGGAGATGTGTGTGAGAATGGGGAGAGAGAGGGAGACGTAGGTAAGAATGAGGAGAGAATAACAGAACCGGACGACTATCCAATTTAATCCTATTTGAGGAATAAATTAGGAAGTATTCCTATTTAGGAACTTTCCCATGTTTTAATCCTATTTAGGGCAAATACTATATATTATAGTGACATTGATACTTAAATAATTACTTTGAAAGTTTTGTTACTTAACTGATATTTTGTTAGTGTAGTGGTATTTTTTAAGAACCAAGAACCCAGATCGAATCAATCCGTTTTAAACGGGACGAGTAATTTAAGGCCCAATTACTATTTCGAGACTTGGTATACCCGGACCGAACCTACCCGTTTAATTGAACAGTGGTTCTAGCCCCCCTAATACACATTGCTGTCACGGAAAAAGCGGTGATAAACTGCAATAATTGTGATCTCAAAGTTCCCCTTAATAAAGTTGTACCATAAATAGTTGTCACGAAATTAATAGTGACAAATTTCGTGACACATGTTTTTATGTATACATGAATCATTTCGTTCGATTCATACTAGTCTAATTTCAGTCACAATATAATATAGTGTGTTGAAACTAATCCAACACAAAATAGTAAATATAGATATAAATATGTATGAACTCTCTGTCATTACATGCAAACTCGAAAGGGAGAAAAACCACATAACTTTTTAGGCTAATGTCCAAGCCACTCTCTTTTCATTAATATCATCCTCACCATTTACATTGGACAAGAGCTCCCATTAATGGAGTACTAAGCTATTCTAGAGAGAAGGGTGTAGAGAAGAAAAGAAGCCAACCCCTAACATGGAGGGAAACCCTAATGGGCCAAGTGGGCCGAAATGGGCCGCATGGGCCAAAGTGGACCAGATGGGCCGAAATGAGCCTCACTGATCGGAGTCCGAACCGGGGTAACGTATTGGTGTCTTGAAGAATAGTAGGTCAGACTAATATATTCCAACATAAGCTTTGTAGAGAAATTGAATGATATAATTAGATGTCGTTCTTCAATTCAATACACATCGCAGATAATGTACGAAAAATTTCATTTGAATTAATGTATCTTTTTATTTTTTATGCTATATATTAGTATATTTACGTTGTTAATTAATTAAAATTGTTAGTGAAGTTTTTAATTAATTATAATTTATTGTGCATATATTTGAAATTCAATTCGAAATATATATTAAATTTTATCAATTATAGTTTATACCTTTGATCAATTTGAAATACCTTTTAGAATTTTAACTAATAATACTAATTTAGTTACATTCTTAGTTAATAAAAATGTTTATTGATCAATACATAAAATTTATGAGTCGATTATTATTTGAAATTTCATTTAGAAATATATACGAAGTATTAAATTTAGCATCTATTGTTATTCCTTTAATTTAGGATTTCAGTTAATTAATAATAATAATTCAACTTTAGTGTTAGTTAATTAAAAAGGGTTTCTAAAAATATTAATGTCTTATTGTGTATACCTTTTAATAATATAAATTTAATTACATTATTAGTTAATAAAAAACATGTTTATAAACTCATACACAAATTAAAATAATTTACATTGTTAGTTAATTGGAATTGTTTATAAATTTAAACATTAAAACTATTGTTGAGTTGTTATTGTACATTAATGTATCTTTTTATTTTTTATGTTATATACTCTCTTCGTTCTTTTTTAGTTGCAACGGTCAACATTTCACATTTGCCAACGCACGTCTTTGACCATAATTATATCTTAATTGTATTAGTAAAAAATATTAAAAATCAGATTTTGAAAAATTGTAATGAGATAAACTGAACAATATTTTTAAAAAAATAATTTTCAAAAAATAATAGCATAAAATGTAGTCAAAGTAGAGCATGTGAATAGTGTAAAATTTAACATGTTGCGATAAAAACGGAATGAAGGATAGTATTAATTTATTTACGTTGTTAATTAATTAAAATTGTTAGTGAACTTTTTAATTAATTAAAGATAAGGAGCTGGAGCCGTGGTATTTATGACCCCCTTTTACAGTCGTTAGCATGGGGGCCTCCTTCTCATGCAAAAGTTTGATGCTCATTTGTGATAAATGGTTAACATCTATCACACAGTCGGTTATGGACAGGACCGACCAACAGTGAAGAGTTTTGGTGAATATGTGTGCTAGCTACACAGTAGTGAGAACATAATTAGGAGCAATGAGACAATATTGAACTGCATTGCGTACAAAATGACTATCAACTTTGATGGGTTTGGTTGTTCATGGAAAACCGGATTCCAAGCAATCTGAATAGCAAATTGACTTTCACAATATAGAAGTATCGATTAAAGATGATGAATACCCAAATTGAGGAGAAGAGCTTTAAACCATTTGAGTTCACAAGTTCGTATTCTGCCTCTACTGAGGATCGAGAGAAAGTGGTCTGTTTCTTTGTCTTTTAAGAACTAGGAAAATCACCAAGAAAAGTCAACTGACCAGAAATAGATTTGCGAGTGAGAGGGAAAGCCACCCAGTCAAAATCATATCATCCTTACAAAGTAAGTTTATTCTCAGCCCGAAGAAGAATTCCTTTTCCACGAGAGCGTTAGAGCTACCAAACAACACGTAAGACAACATCCCAATGATGGTGACACGTTCCAGCATAAATTGAGACAAAATATGGACAATATATGCCAAATTAGGTCGAGTAACTGCCAAATGGATTAGTCGCCCCACAACACGACGGTGAGGCTAACTTAGGATCCGAGAGAGGAGCATTACCATTAGGCATTTGCCAAGCATTCGGCATGTCTTCAAGCCCCGAGGCAGCAAAAATATGCAAATTTAACAGACGAACCTTGTGAATAATATAAGACCCAAACTAAAATATAGGGTATATTTTAAGACCCAAACTTCGGTCAGGGGCCAGGGGGCCGGTGCCTCTGCTTCGGCCACCGGAGGTAGGGTATATATAGGGGTTTTGGGGGCCGCCGGGGGTGTCCGTTGAAGTTTCCGGGGAACTGGGTTTGGAACTGTGTTGTTCGTCCAGCGCTGCTGCAGGGAAGAGGAAGACCACTTTTTTCATTAAATTGGACGGCGTCGTTTTGATGTTGCTTGGGGAAAATAAGGGCCAACCGTGTGAAGCCCAAAGCCCAGCAGCCTGCAGCCCAAAGGAAGTTGTATGGCACTGCAGTGTGGTATCTCATATGCAAACAAAAGGAAGTTCCGCACTTCCCATTTCCCACCCGGCTTCAACAATTCAGCAACCCTTCCCAGTACAAAAAAATTACGAGATTGGCACGGACTTACCGATTTTTCGTGCGAAATAGCTCGTGCCAAAGTGTTTTTGGCACGAATTTGGCATTTCATTTCCCTGCCAAAATCCATGTCGAATCCCTGCCAAAATCAATGTCAATCCCGTGGTATTTTTGTAGTGTCCGCCGCTCCACAGACCAGCAGTGTCGTGCCGTCGCAGACTCACAGTCAGGCCCGCCAGACGTCGGTCAAACCGCCATGGTGCCACACGGATCGCCACTCCACCAGCCGCCAGTTGATGTCTTGCACTTTTGCCGATTCGGTATGTTTCGACTTCCTATTTTTTCTCTTTTAAATTAAATAAAATTTGGTATTTCACTATTCATTTTGGTTAAATTCATAGTTATGATTTAAAAAATATGTAGTGTAAAATAGATTCAATTAAATATAACGAGTATGTATAATTCTAAGTTTTTGTGTTAATATATTATTTGTATTAATGAAGTATTTATAATAGTTTTACTTGAATTAACTACTTTTTGTTTCGATATTTGTCATTAGGGGATGTCAATTGATAACATTTAGTACCATTACGTTAACCCTTTTGATTAAATTTGGTATGTTTTATTAGTGTAAGTTGTTAAGAAAATTTTATTATTAATGTAATGATTTACATTATGTGATTGTGCCCCTGCTTAATTTTTTCTCTAGTTCCGCCACTGAGCACGAATGCGGCAATTAGGATATCAATCCAAGAATATCAGTAAGCTAAGGGTTGTGTAAAGTTATGTATTTTTCTCCAGATACCCATATTAATACTTGGCCTAACCTAACAATTTATTAGCATCAAGTGAAATGTGTTTCTTCAAATATTAACCTAAGACCTACTGTGTATATATATAATGGAAGCTAAGAGCACGAATATAGTACCCTGTCCCAAAACACTTTGTCATCTTGTAAAAGGTAGATTCTATGATACCCATAAGGTACCGTACCTTTGCCCACATGAATCAATGAAAATGTAGTCGTTGAATTATTTAAATCTAAATTAAATATGATAAAGTGATGTGGTCCAATCAAATGAATGATAGGTACGGTACCTCATTTTTTAGAAAGGTACCGGAGTTGTCACCCTTGTAAAATACGGAGTATGAAAGTACTTTTAAGAAAAAACATTTTCATATCATTTTTATAGAACCTATTATAAATAATTTCCAACAAAAATATGTAGTTTTCCAAAGTTTTTGAGGATAAAGAAATGAAAAGTGAGAGTTTTTTCCAAAATAATGCTATATAAAAAATATATACGAAATTAGGGTTGAGTTAAAACTATTTACCAAAATAATGATGGAATAAACTCTACTTAAATTCGTAACTCGCACACCACACACTAAAAGAGAGCTGACCAATAGAATCCGATTTTGTTTATAAAAACATCAAAAAATCCCTCTTTTTTTAAATGGTTATAAGTTTTTTTACTTATAATCCGATTTTCATAAAAAATATATCAAAATTCATAACTTTTTATTATCTTTCATATGACACCAATATTCAATATATAAAATCAAAAATAAATGAAGATACAATGAGTGGAGGTTTTTAGGGTAGAAACCTTTTTAAGTAGATCAATGTTCTAAAATTAAGATTTCATAATTTCTTAGAACCTATTTGGTAACACTTAAATTGACTGAATCAGTGGGTTCCGATATGATGAAGTTTATTAAGTTCTGGATAAAGTGCTTGAATTCAGCCAATTCAGACACTTTATCTAGAACTTAATAAAGTACAGCCGAAT